AAACAATACAAATAAACTCGAATATTTAACAAACGAGCACGAACCTTTGTTTACAAACATAACGAACAAAAATATTTAAAATTATATTCGGCTCCTCTTGTTAAAAAACTCTAAATCTCATGCACAATTATATGAACTCACTTTTACATAATAACAACCTGCATGCTCTTACTATACTAATAGAACTCATAGCAATCACTGATTAACTCTAATGAGCACTTCAATCATTCTTAAAGCTGTAAACAAGCCGAAATGTTCAACTTTGAAGTAAATCTAAGTTGATGCAATCTACAAGATAAGTTTGAGTTCCATGATCATCCGTTTCGGCTTCTATCTCACGCGGCGCTGCAAATGGTCTTGAAGGCATCCGTGGTTCGGACTCACTTTCAAGCATTTCTATTACTTTGTTGATAGGAAGTCGATCGGATGGTCTCATTTGTATGCACCACATTGCGACTATCATAATCTTTTTCACCATTCTTTTTTCCTCTTCGCTTGCATCTTTCATCTCGATGTCCTTTCCTGCACATAGTTGGTCATATATCCACATCGGGAAGTACATTCGATTCCTTTCTTCAACCAAGTCATTCATGATTTTCTTTTTTCCCGCCATTTCCATCAACATCATTCCAAAGCTATATATATCGGCCTTGTAAGATATGCCGCCCATGTTTCTATAGAAAATCTCGGGTGCCATGTATCCCATCGTTCCTCTTGCGCCCGTTAAATTTATGAAGCTCTCGTTGGTGGGGTGCAATCTTGCAAGCCCGAAATCAGATATCTTTGGATTGAAATTCTCGTCGAGTAGTATGTTGTTGTGAGGTTTGATGTCAAAGTGTAGGATTTGCATATCACAACCATGATGCAAATATCCAATTCCACGCGCCACTCCAAGTGCAATTTCAAACATTTTGTCGAGCGTCAAGGCGAGCACTCCTAAACTTTGTTCGTTGAAGATATATCTATCGAGGGAACCATTAGGAAGAAACTCATATACCAAAGCATACTTTGAGCGTTCGATACAAAACCCAACGAGATGAACTACATTGACATGGTGGATTCGCCCGATTGTGCCAACTTCATTGATGAATTCTTCGACCCCGGCTATGGTTTGGTCTAACATCTTTACCGCCACATAAAGACCACTTCGAAGCTTTCCTTTATAGACAGTTCCATAGCCTCCTTCACCCAATTTTTCGTTAAAATTGCTCGTCATTTTCTTGACATCCGAGTAACTGTATTTTATGGGTGCAAAATCATGTTGATCTTGTAAAAACTTTTCAATATTTGTATCATTGCATAAATGGCGTCTTCTCCATTTATGGATCACCAACCACAATAGAAGAGGAAATCCAACCATAAATCCAATTGCCAATCTTACAGATAAGATCTCACCTACATTATTTCGTGAAAATATATATATATATATATGTATATCAAATAGGAAGAATTGTTTGCAATCTCATGGTTAATTTGTTTAGAAAAAAATGACAATCTTTCAACTTTTCAATATGTTTTTGCATTGCACAATTTACAATTAAATATATTTTTCCGTTTAAACTCATTCTATTCCCATCAATTGAGTGTATACATTTAATTAACATATAACATCAAAAATTATTTTATATAAAACAAAATTATAAAAGCCAAAGCAACTTGAAAATTCATTTAAATGCATAGATAATAACTTAAAACATGGGAAAATTGCAAAAATATCCTATATGTATACCTCATTATCACTTTTGTCTTGTATTTATCTTGCTGACAAAATATATCTCACATGTTTACAAAAGTCGTTATTTCTATCATTTGGCCGCGTGTGGCCGCACGTGATTGTGCGTAAGGACGCGTGGTGTGAATGTGACGCGCGGGCAAAGGACATAAATAGTGATTTTTATAAACATGTGGCATATATTTTGGCAAAGAGATAAATACAAGACAAAAGACAAAAGTGATAATATGGTATAAATGTAGGATATTTTTTGCAATTTCATCCTTAAAACATCGTTTAAACATTAGTTATAAAATGATTTTTTTAAAAAATCCAATCTTACCAATTGTCCAAAGAACCCTAACCATTGTCCCTGTAAAAACAGAAAAGCTCACAAGATTCCAAAGTAGATTGGATCTGAGAAAAGTATATTCAAGTCTATGAACATATTTACCTGCAAAATTTCAAATTAGTATATAATGAGCACATACAATTTGAAAAGAAAACTATAATTATGATAAAGTATAACTGCTACTTATTTCTAAATTATTGACCATAAGTGATGAAAAGTATCGTCTATAATAAGTTATAATCATGAATTAAAGTGTAAAATCAAATAAATTTGAGGTATAGAATGGAATTAAACAATATCGTTTAACAATTTATAATTCTTTAAAAATAAGTGTATTTGTACAGTACTCCCTCTGTCTCTCTCAAGACGGGATCGTCTGTTCCGGACAGAACCCTCTCCTGTGAAGATAGGGTTTGTTTGTTTTTTGGACAGGTGATCTCATGGGTTTCGTCTCAAACATGATGCAATATTGTTTTCGGCACGGAAATTCAGGTGAATAGTATTAAATGAGATAATTTGAAAATTAATTGATATGACGAGAGAGAAAAGCGTATGTTTTATTTGATTGATGTGATGAAATAAAATGTGGGATAAGATTAAATATATTTAATTATTTCTTATTTAAAAAATATCGTAGAATGTTAGAGACAAACAAAAAAGAAATTTAGCAGAGTATTTGAGACGGAGGAGGGAGTAGTAAAATATATATGAAGTAGACATTAATTAAGTGACACTTACAAGGTAAGATACCATACAAACAACATCTTTCCGTCACAATGTGATTGGGAGCTAAGGTGAAATAGGGAACCTCCAGCCAACAACCTCCAGAATCGACTCTCCTCCATGAAAGCTCAAACCCATAAGCCAAGGCCTCGTAAATATCGATGAACGATGACTTATTGGTAATAGACGAGCGCGCGGACACCAAAAGCACCTTATCCACCGTGCAAGACTCTTCTAAATCCGACAAAGATAATTGATAAGGATCATCAAGCACGACATAACTATAGAATCGGGAAGATTTTCCAAAATGGATGGTTTTTGTTGTGTTGCCAAAGAAAGGGGCTCTAACATAATTATTATTATTATTATTATCGTTCGCAATAGCGGACGACAAACAATGAATGAATGCTGCTTCTTTGTTTAAGGGGGTAGTTATTATATTGTTGTAGACGTCGTAGGAAACACCAAAATAGTATGATGGGCTACTACAGGAGGAGAGGTCTCCCGGCGTATTGGTATTGATATTGATGCAAGCAGGGTCGACTACCCTTATCCGCTCTTGTTCATAATTGATACTTAGCACCAAAATCGTCGTTGATCTGTATTGCCTTGTTGCAAAATCTTGTCCTTGGAAATTGAGAAGTGTCTGGTTATTATGGCAATCGAGCTGGAAATTGATGCCGTTGAATCTGCAATGGGAAGGATCAGTGCTGAGTCGAAAAGGGTAGCTTATGCGCGTGATGTTGCCGCAGGAAGAAGGAGGGCATTGGTGGAATTGGGATCGGGATGGAGTGACATAAGTGACGAAAATTAGTTGCAAGACAACAAGGAAGAAGACATGAATTAGGAGGACAGACATTATGGTCTACTTAAGGTTTAGGGTTTAGTTAGACTTCATATAAATAATCGAATATCGATCATTTTAATTATTACATGTATGTATATGTGTGTGTATATATATATATATATCTATATTCAATGCAACCGAGGTCGCCATGGAAAAACAAGGACAGGACAGGACAGGACAGGACAGGACAGCAAACCAATCCTGATGAACTGACCAAGTCATATATATTATCATTATCAGCTCTTTAATTAAATTTTTGATTGTTTTATGGAATAGATTATGTGTGCTGAATTTTATTTCAAAATTATAATGTTGAATTACGTAAAAATAAATTAATATATGTGGTGCGAATCACTTGAGAAATGGACAATATCTACAAATGAGTTGAATGGTAAAGACTTGGTTAAAACATTTTCAAAACTATAGATGCATATATATATATATATATTATGATATTTGTGTTAATATGTTTACTTGGGACAAGACCGGGAGGGATCCGAATTTAAATTATAACATTACAGTCACAAGTTCATCCTTACATCACTATCCATTTCTTACTGGCTTTATTATTATTGTTAAATGAAATAATTGCTGGACATGATATTACATATGAAAATAGGTATAAAATTTGATTTATTTTTCATTTAAAATTTTGTAATTCATTTTATTTATTTATTGTTGTTGTTTTGTTTTATTGCAAGACCGAGTAAGTATCAATTTTGGAAGTCAATAAAATAAAAACAAATACATACGTGACATGACTCGACCTCAGCCTAATGTGTAATTTAGACTTGTCTATACATATTTTAGCGGAATGGTTACGGTGAAGAAAAACATGGCAGTTAGTAGCACGCTATGGCTTACCAGCATTCATTTGTTAAATATCCATCAATTATTAGTTTCATAATTAAGAACATTTTATGGTTCACTATTTCAATTTCTCAATTTTCATAATTTAGAGATTTTTAAAATTTTCTAATTTCTTTTTTTTTTTTCTTTTTTAAGTTTAATAACGGGAAAATACAATATAACATTGAATTTAATTGATTTTCCATTATGATAAATGTGTTTATTTCCTATAAATATTGTCTGCTGTTCCTATGCAGTATTGGAGCAGGAGGAAAAACCTCTTTGGCGCTGCCCCAAGAATATTTATTGATTTCTTTGAAGGGATGGTCACCGTTTGATTATTTGTAAATATCCAATTATTTAATATTCGAATCAAATCGAACAAATACTCGAAATTGTGATTCTCGTCAAACCAAAAGTTTTGATTAACCAATTTTTTGTTTAATCAAACATATTTGCAGTATCTACAAAAAATTTGAACCAAATCGAATCTAAAAACAGATACATGAAAAAGATAATTTACAAAATTTACTAGTTACCTTAGGTGTCCACAAAAAGCTGAAATATTAATGCAAAGATAATTATATTAAAATTACAACAATACTTTTCAATCAAACAAAAAGAACCATTTAATTCAAATAATTCCAAACCTGCTGTCACTTTGATTGATGATAGAACACTGCGCTCTAGTAGTGGATGATGAAGCTTAAGGTGGAGCGGAACCTACAATGAACATATTAAGAATTAATATCAATATGAATTACTAAATTACATTTGAAACTTACTAGAAGTTTCTGCATCTATGGGAATTGAATTATGTACTCGTGATGGTGTGCCTACAATATATCACACACATTTATAAGTTTCAGGAAAAAAAAAAGTGGCGGAGCCTACAATATAACAAAAACACTTAAGACCTTAATGAAGTAAATAATAATGTTCATATTTAAACTTCTTCCTAAATACCTGAATCATCATTTAGATCTAGATGAGCGGGTGCATCATCACGATGGTCACCCTGACCCCCTCTAGCCCTAACAAGTCGGAAGGCCTCCTTAATCTAAGAACATGCTATGATTTCAAATTTTGTGTATCATAAGGCTTAACTCATTTAGGATTCGGGCAAAATTGAAAACATAATCAGAGAAAAGCAAAGATTGTCTGATTGTATTTTAGTTTTTTGTCTTGCACAAAATTTACCTAAACAAAAATCGGAAGGCAGAATAGCCGTCGTCGTCATCACCATCATTCCTTCTTCTGCCTCTTCCCTCGTTTCTCTGATTGCCTCGCTTTACCCGACCTTGTATCCTGTACGTTATTTATGAAACTGTGTTATGCATTGTTGGCCTTCGGGGTTACATCTCGACAATAGTATGGTGCTTAATACCTATTTTGATCTCTTCCTCTGTTTCCATTGCCCTTTGCCCTTTTTCTTCGATTTAGTTGGACTCTGTTAAGGTTATTGTGTTCGAAAGTAGTGAATAACAGAACAAAGGAGTTGGGAGTAAACCTATCTGCTCAATCGTAATATAATCTATATATATACCTTCATAGAAACTGTATTTGTATCATCATTATCATGATGAATCTCAACCTCGATCCGTCCCTCACTGTTGAGCATAACCTTAAGCCTCCCTTCTTTATACAATTTCTCAGACTGGGCATGTCGCTAGAAAGGGGACAAAAAACTAATGTCATCGACTACCTCAAGAGTGCATTAAGTTCAACCCCACAATAGCCACAATGAGCGTGATTATAAAAGATATTATATACTTGCCTTGGAGCTTAGATGAGCCTTTAGTGTCTCCTCGGACAAGCAGACAATCCTAGGGCAGAGCCTGCACTTGAAAACTGATTTGCATTTTACGACACAATCTTTCACATCGAAGGGGCTCTCATCTTTTTCGGGACCATGTGGTGCTTTGCCAAACACATTGTCGACTTCATCAGTAGCAAAAGCTCCAGCACCATTTTGAGCTCCAACATCATCATCACTTGAGGCCATACCTGCCAAATTATGCTATTTTTCGGATCAGGAAGATTTTAGAACTGTGAAAAACATTTGCATCACAAAATATGAGGCAATAGTTATACCATGCACCAATAGAGTGTTTCAAGGAAATAAAATTAAGAAATAGAACTTTGCAAAATCCATATATTATGTATCAGCTTATCCTCAAAATCGCTCTCTTGTTAGTTTTCAGATGTTCTATTAAATCCTAAAACCATTCCCGCACTAATCTTCTACATTCATGGAAATAAAAATGAAAGATGTTTCCCCTGATAATTGAGTGTCCACATTTGAATCGACTCGCAATTTAAACAAACTTTTGCAGTGTCGAGTACATTTAATATGAATTAATATGTATACATCTTCTGCAGCAAGTGATGGGAAAAGCACGTCTAAATTACAGTTAAGGTAGTAGTAGGTAGTCCAGCCTTACATATGTCAAGCTGATGAGTAACCAATGGCATGAATAAAAGACAAATTCCTAGTCACTATCGATGCCAAACAAAATGATAACAATGTATTATATGTTAAATCAACAAAGAAACCATGTTGCAAACGATATCATTAGGAGAAGGATGAATTCATTTACAATATCAATATTCATGTCAAAGAGAATGGTACTGCAGCATTACTTATCAAGAAGATCACTGAAGAACGCATTCCTTCTAGTGAAAGTTCAAATATTTATACATACTGTAAGGAGAACTATAGAAACTATACATTATTTGGTCCAATCAGAATTACATCAAAAATTAAAAAATGGAATTTGTTATGAACTTTCCCAAAAGCTGTAACAGAAACAAGAAGATGAGAACTGATTTAACCTGATGAATCAAGATTGACTTCATTTGCTGAACTATCCTCGCTCTCGTAACCTGAAGAAGCGAATACAAATAAAATAACCTTGGCAAAAACATAGGTTACATTATTAACAGTCTAGTTATCACAATCTAAGCTTTTAGAATATACCAAGAAAAATCAAAGAAAACAATCTAATCAAATAATATACCTACATCAAGTAACGTCCATGGAATTACTGGTGAAAGTGTTTTTCAACCAGAAGAATTGACAAATAAATAGATATATGATCACAATGATCAAGTATGCATAGCACAGATCATAAGAATGCTTCACAAACCAGAAGAAGAAGTTTCTCCCTTTCGCCTTACAACAGCATTTTCATTCTCCTCATCTCCCTCCTCCTCCTCCTCCTCTTCTTCTTCATATTCTGTTTCATCAGTGGCCTCTACCTCCACTTCAGAGTCAGATGAAGAAGATTCAGAGGGAGCATCATAATCACCATGTTCATACCTGTAGAACCTCCTCTTTATCACCTCTTTATTCTCAACTGAAAAGTATAAAAATGGAGTAAAATCAGCACTAAAGACTTGCTCAAAGTAATGTGAGTCAGGATGGAAAGGAATGTATATATAAATAGGGAAGGGTTACCGTGCTGGATTTGGAAAATCAACACTGTGCAGCACATGTAAAATATAGAAATGACACATGCTTTTATTACATATAACAAATGTTGTTCGTAATAAAGACATGTGTTGTTTGTTCATAACTACAACGTGTGTTGTATGAGAGTATGTTATGTGCTAAAATCAATAATTTGTATGTGCTCTGTGAGAACATATTATGTTATGTTAGTTCATGTGCTATATTTGTATTATATTAATGTATGTTGTGTGTTGTATGTGGTTATACTATGTGCGGTCCGTTAGCACACGGTTACATTTCAGCATTGTAGCCGCGGCCATATAAATAATATAAAATATTAGAGTACCGGCCGAGCTCACATTAAAACGTGATTACCATGGACCATTTAAGACCTTGAGACACCTCAGTCCCTTTCGCCGGTGCTCGAGGAGAAAGAAAAGTCGTTCAAAATTTTGAGTTCCTGTTGGGAAAAGAAGATCGGAGAATTGAGAAGGTCAACGTTGTTCGGAGCCGGCACTATTAGGGACCGCATCGAGCTGCCCGGAGAAGCAGTCTGATGAGCCGCCGCCTCAGGAACGGTTGCCGCTGTTCTTGTCGAACAAAGTGATTATTATTTGATAAAGTAAATATAATAAAATCGTAGGTGAATGAAGGTGTTAATGAGCCGAACTGAGTTGAGGTTTGATGTATGTTTGAGCTTGGCCATTAGGGACTCGAGGTTGTTTCGTATTCATTAGTTGAAAGTTACGAGCTGAATTTTTATTTTTATTTATTTATTTATTTATGTTTTAACCTTTGACTAGTTAAACAATTAATTTGTTTGTGTTTGGCTCAGCTTGTTAATTTTTTTTATTTTATTTAATGTTAAATTCAATTAATAATAATAATAATAATTTATTAATATATTTATAAACAAATTAGAATTATATATAATATTAAAGATATATTTATTAAATATTGTATTGAATATTGTCCCACGTTGCTAAATGTATGGAACTCCCTAATATATAAGGGTGAAGGACCACTCTACAATTGGTGATCGGTTGGATGCCTGGATTTCTTCTTAACATATAGAATATTAATTTAATTTTAGCACGAATAAGTTCGAGTTCATTCATTAACATAACGAGTTGAACCGAGGGTGAATAAAGTTGTTTAGTATAAATAGATTATGCATAAGTTTAACAGACAAAAATAAATAAATAAATAAATAAATAAACTAACATAATTATTTGGGATGAAATGAGTAATATTTTTCTTCACAAAAAATGAAGCAAGCAAGAAAGAAGGTCATAGCAATGTTATATGCAGAATGTAATAATTCCAAACATTATCTAAATATTACAATCTCAAATATGAATAATTGCAAACTTAGACTAAATAACGACAAAGGCAACATAACATCTTCTTGAATGGTTACTGCCAGAAAAAATGTTGATAATTGCATAAATTTATCGCAGATTTTGTCGATAATTAAAAATCATAGAGAGTAATTTCGTGATAAATTTATGTCACAACTTTTTATTTTGACTGTTTCGTGGGTAATATTTGCAGAAAAAGTTACAAATAAATTCTTGTGAGTATTTAAAGTAAGGACTTATGTAACGAAAATGTCAAAAATATTTTTATTCCGTGTCTTTTGACAATTTCGTCACAAAAATTGTCACAATTTTTTTTCGTGACTATTTTAAGTTGAAAAAAAAACCAAAATACTTGCAACATTTTAAATTAATACAGATATTGTCATGATATAATTTTCGTGACTTTTTAAAGTTAAAAAGTCACAACATAAGTAACGAAAACAACCATAACAACCATTCATAACATACAAGCAACAAGCAAAAAGTCGATTAACACGCATTCAAATCAGATTGATAGAGAGAGAGAACACATACCACAATGCTCAACTTTGAAGTAAATCTAAGTTGATGCAATCTACAAGATAAGTTTGAGTTCCATGATCATCCGTTTCGGCTTCTATCTCACGCGGCGCTGCAAATGGTCTTGAAGGCATCCGTGGTTCGGACTCACTTTCAAGCATTTCTATTACTTTGTTGATAGGAAGTTGATCGGATGGTCTCATTTGTATGCACCACATTGCGACTATCATAATCTTTTTCACCATTCTTTTTTCCTCTTCGCTTGCATCTTTCATCTCGATGTCCTTTCCTGCACATAGTTGGTCATATATCCACATCGGGAAGTAGATTCGATTCCTTTCTTCAACCAAGTCATTCATGATTTTCTTTTTTCCCGCCATTTCCATCAACATCATTCCAAAGCTATATATATCGGCCTTGTAAGATATGCCGCCCATGTTTTTGTAGAACATCTCGGGTGCCATGTATCCCATCGTTCCTCTTGCACCCGTTAAATTTATGAAGCTCTCATTGGTGGGGTGCAATCTTGCAAGCCCGAAATCAGATATCTTTGGATTGAAATTCTCGTCGAGTAGTATGTTGTGAGGTTTGATGTCAAAGTGTAGGATTTGCATATCACAACCATGATGCAAATATCCAATTCCACGCGCCACTCCAAGTGCAATTTCAAACATTTTGTCGAGCGTCAAGGCGAGCACTCCTAAACTTTGTTCGTTGAAGATATATCTATCGAGGGAACCATTAGGAAGAAACTCATATACCAAAGCATACTTTGAGCGTTCGATACAAAACCCAACGAGATGCACTACATTGACATGGTGGATTCGCCCGATTGTGCCAACTTCATTGATGAATTCTTCGACCCCGGCTATGGTTTGGTCTAACATCTTTACCGCCACATAAAGACCACTTCGAAGCTTTCCTTTATAGACAGTTCCATAGCCTCCTTCACCCAATTTTTCGTTAAAATTGCTCGTCATTTTCTTGACATCCGAGTAACTGTATTTTATGGGTGCAAAATCATGTTGATCTTGTAAAAACTTTTCAACATTTGTATCCATGCATAAATGGCGTCTTCTCCATTTATGGACCACCAACCACAATAGAAGAGGAAATCCAACCACAAACCCAATTGCAAGTCTTATAGATAAGATCTCACCTACATTATTTCGTGAAAATATATATATATATATATATCAAATAGGAAGAATCGTTTGCAATCTCATGGTTAATTTGTTTAGAAAAAAATGACAATCTTTCAACTTTTCAATATGTTTTTGCATTGCACAATTTACAATTAAATATATTTTTGCATTTAAACTCATTCTATTCCCATCAATTGAGTGTATACATTTATTTAACATATAACATCAAAAATTATTTTATATAAAACAAAATTATAAAAGCCAAAGCAACTTGAAAATTCATTCAAATGCATAGATAATAACTTAAAACATGGAAAAATTGCAAAAAATATCCTACACGTATACCTCATTATCACTTTTGTCTTGTATTTATCTCACATGTTTACAAAAGTCGTTATTTCTATCATTTGGCCGCGTGTGGCCGCACGTGATTGTGCGTAAGTGAATGTGACGCGCGGGCAAAGGACATAAATAGCGATTTTTATAAACATGTGAGATATATTTTGGCAGAGAGATAAATACAGGACAAAAGTGATAATATGGTATAAGTGTAGAATATTTTTTGCAATTTTATCCTTAAAACATCGTTTAAACATTAGTTATAAAATGATTTTTTAAAAAAAATCCAATCTTACCAATTGTCCAAAGAACCGTAACCATTGTCCCTGTAAACAAAAATATATAAAATTAAAGTATAAAAATATATAAAAATTCTAGAAGAAAAGCTCACAAGATTCCAAAGTAGATTGGATCTGAGAAAAGTACATTGAAGTTTATGAAGATATCTACCTGCAAAATTTCAAATTAGTATATAATGAGCATATACAATTTGAAAAGAAAACTATAATTATGATAAAGTATAACTGCTACTTATTTCTAAATTATTGACCATAAGTGATAAAAAGTATCGTCTATAATAAGTTATAATCATGAATTAAAGTGTAAAATCAAATAAATTTGAGGTATAGAATGGAATTAAACAATATGGTTTGACAATTTATAATTCTTTTAAATGAGATAATTTGATAATTAAGTGATACAATAAGAGAGAAAATTGTATATTTTATTTGAGACGGACAGAGTAGTAAAATATGAAGTAGACATCAATTAAGTGACACTTACGAAAAGATGAGTAATCATATGAACAACATCTTTCCGTCACAATGTGATTGGGAGCTAAGGTGAAATAGGGAACCTCCAGCCAACAACCTTCAGAATAGACTCTCCACCATGAAAGCTCAAACCCATAAGCCAAGGCCTCGTAAATATCGATGAACGATGACTTATTGGTAATAGACGAGCGCGCGGACACCAAAAGCACCTTATCCACCGTGCAAGACTCTTCTAAATCCGACAAAGATAATTGATAAGGATCTCCAAGCACGACATAACTATAGAATCGGGAAGAATTTCCAAAATGGATGGTTTTTGTTGTGTTGCCAAAGAAAGGGGCTCTAACATAATTATTATTATTATCGTTCGCAATAGCGGACGACAAACAATGAATGAATGCTGCTTCTTTGTTTAAGGGGGTAGTTATTATATTGTTGTAGACGTCGTAGGAAACACCAAAATAGTATGATTGGCTACTACAGGAGGAGAGGTCTCCCGGCGTATTGGTATTGATATTGATGCAAGCAGGGTCGACTACCCTTATCCGCTCTTGTTCATAATTGATACTTAGCACCAAAAGCGTCGTTGATCTGTATTGCCTCGTTGCAAAATCTTGTCCTTGGAAATTGAGAAGTGTCTGGTTATTATGGCAATCGAGCTGGAAATTGATGCGGTTGAATCCGCAATGGGAAGGATCAGTGCTGAGTCGAAAAGGGTAGCTTATGCGCGTGATGTTGCCGCAGGAAGAAGGAGGGCATTGGTGGAATTGGGATCGGGATGGAGTGACATAAGTGACGAAAATTAGTTGCAAGACAACGAGGAAGAAGACATGAATTAGGAGGACAGACATTATGGTCTACTTAAGGTTTAGGGTATATAAAGCTAGACTTCATACAAATAATCGAATCGTTGGATCAATATATAAGATTATTGAGTATGATCGAATCTACTTTGGGCATTGGTCATTTTTTATTATCACATATATGCATCTCAACACCTTAAAGTTGAGTTCTTTTCGTGGGTTTTCAACGTATATTTTTATTATTCATATTTTTTTTTTAAAAAAAATATCAAATCAAACTATTATATTTTTTTATACATATATATTATACTATAAATCTATTTCATATTTAAAATATCACGTCAAACGGCTATTTATATCACATTAAAAAATTATTTAAATTCAACTTGTTACTACTAAAAATATTTTCAAACTCAAGAAGTATACACACAAACAAACACACCCTAGTGGCCATGGAAAAACAGAAGCCACTTGCCAATCCATCATGACTTGACCAAGTCTTACTACGTGCTCTGAGAAATTGATTTTACAATATAAAATATATTATTTTTAATTAAATATTTTATTTTTTATTTTTTTAATAAATATTTAAAAAAAATAATTTATTTTTTATATGTTACAGAAAATTGCATAAATAATATAAAATATATTTTTTGAAAACATGATTCCAAAAAATTATTGCACGCAACAACCCTATATGTATATATATTATCATTATGAGCTCTTTAATTAATTATATATATATATGTTAATTAAATTTGATTGTTTTATGTACTATAAATAAATAGTATATGTAATACTTTGAATAAACACTATATAATAAAAAATATAAAGATATTTTTAATGTTATTTTTAGAAGCAGACTAATAGAGTATAATTTTCTTTTAAAAAGAATGATAAAAAAGAAGAATTTAATATAATGCTTTTAGTAATTAAGAGAAAAATTATAAATAATGTGATCAATATTTTAAAATAAAGTAAGCAAGTTATGAAAAATATTTTGATCTTTAGAAATTGTACTAGTCTATAGAATGATAAATAGTTATGAGAATTATTTTAAATATTCTGTATAAGTTATTATTAAATGTATTCACTACAAAAAAAAAAAAAAAAAAAAAAAGTATATTTGTAACGGAATTCCGTTCCTAAAGTTCACGTAGCTAACGTAATTTCATTCCTAATTCCATCTCTAATATCATTAGTAACGGAAAAAATGGATTTAAGAACGAAAAAATGTTGTTACAAAACTGATATTTTTTTTTGTAGTGATTATGCAATATTAAGAGTTTATTTTTCAAATCAAAATTACTATTTTTCAGACTATAATGTCCAAATAGACATAAAAATTATTTATTCTTATAAATATCAAATTAAATTATATTTAAATAATAATTTAAATTCAAATCAAAAGTAAACAGATATTAAAGGTCATGTACCTCGTTATTTATTTATTTGAGAAAATAAAATTATTTCAAAATCACATTATACTTTCGAGAATAGTTTAGATAATACGTTCTTACACTATATATCACACATACCCTGGCGCGCCCAGGTCCATTATAAATTTATGTTATATATATATATATAATTTAATATATAAATAATTTATTTGATATATATAAATAAATAATTATTCTAGTTTGGTGGTATAGAGATTAGTTTTTAATATCGGGGCTAAGTTTAAATCCTATCTGTCTAAAACATTAAAAAATGTTTTTTTATAACTATTTTTCATCTAAAAATCTTAGAAAATTATTTTATTTAATTATTTATATTTTATAATAAATAAGAATATATTCTTTATATATATTTTGGGACCCATATTTTTTTTTGGTCCAAACCTTTCGAAAGTCAAGACGGGTCCTGCACACATAAACTATTAATATCTCTTAATCTAAATATTTTTAGGTAAATTGATTTTTCTATGTATGGTATAGAAAATTGTGTCAAAATATAGGGAATAGTTACGGTGCTAATTTTTCAGCACTTATAATATACAGAAACAGCACATGTTATTATTACACACAACACATGTGATGTTTATTCAGAATTATATGGGTGTTGTATAAAAGTATATTATGTACTAAAATCAAATGTCTGTCTATTTTATGTGATTATAGAATGTGTTGTTAACTCATATGTTGTATTTGTATTATATTAATATAAAAGATGTGCTGACAAAAATAATACGGTGCGTTGTTTGTCATTTTGACTTTGTAACTTTTTGCAATGAGTAGAACATTTTACTTTTTTTTACTTTTTACTTTTATAAGAGGTATTTTTTATTATTTGTAGTATTATTTTTTGGAATCATAATGAAAAAATAGTGTTACGCGGACAAAGTTATTGTGTTATAGATGATTATATTATTAAGGTAAAAAAAAATACCTATATTGAAGGAGTATTTATTAAGATATGGTTTATAAAATACTTCAATCAATATTTTCAAATTATATTTTCAATCAAATATATATATATATTGCATTTAATTGTAATTCATTCGAAAACTAAAATAAGTCATTCCAATTAACCGAACTAAATTTCCAACCATAAACCAAATTGAAAATTAAAATATGTCAATGCTATGATTTTTCCTATATAATTCTTTATAGAAGTAATTAATATTACTAAAGCGCACTCGAAGGATTTTTATTGATCTATTAGTTTCTCTCCGTTCTAAACAAGGTTCAATATTTACTTTTGACACCGGTTTTTAGTAAATAGTATTAAGTAGAATAATTCAGAAATTAGGTGATATGATGAGAGAAAAATATATATTTTATTTTTTTATTTGGATGATGTGACTGGATAAAATGTTGGGTAGAGATTAAATATAATTAATTATTTCCTATTTTGTAAATATTGCAAGGTGTTTGTGACGGAGGGAATACAATTTTGACTTGCTGGCCTGAATGTCACGTCAATATAATAATAAAATGTGGGACAAATATTTATAATTCCTAATCAATTATTTTTCACTTCTTGACTTGATCCATGACTCTTGTGAGTCCACTCTAATTTATATTTATTAATTTACAAAATTGTTGTCCTATATTGCCTTCCTTAGACTTTGTAGTCAATTGAATAATATAATAATATTAATAATAATAATACAATTTGAGAACTCTTTCTTCGATCTTAGATGTAAGTTTAACGTTATGATTTAGAATTTAATACGATGTTTTGAATAAAAATTTCGTTTGTGTTGATATACTTTTGATTTTTTTGGTATTATTAACTTTTTAAAAAATATCATATTAAATATACAATCTTTTACTATTTTCAAAAAATTTTAAAACTCAAAAACTTTCAAAATTTTTATCTGAAAGGACCCAGAATTTTTTGTGGAATATATTAGATAAATATATATATATATATATATTGTTAGTTTTTACAATAGCTAATAGTATATTGCAGCTATGTAGGCCTTAAGGGTTGAGTGTTTTTAATTATTTATATTTTGGGTTTTGATATGTTTTGAAGTGTAATAATTATTGGATATTGTTTTATAGATATATATATATAATTGTATACGTGTTATATTTTAAAAATTAAATACTTATTTTGTTAACAAAGCAGTCTGAGTCATGTTTGCAAACGTTTAATTAGAAGATTAATATATAAGATTATTAATTAAAAAATAAATAAAATACTATATACATTATAAAATAAAATAAAATATCATATCTATCAAATCAAAGCTCAAACGAACTTATTCGACCTGAACACAAACTTGAACAATAAAATTTCTTAACGAACCAAACTTAAACAATACAAATAAACTCGAATACTTAACAAACGAGCACGAACCTT